TGTTCTTACTCCAACAAGGAATGTTGAAGGATGTTGAAAAAATGAGATGGAAAATGAATAAATATAGGGCGGTATGGAACACCTTTAATTTTTATATTGTTATTATTAATCATAGTGGGTCAAAAAATTTAAAACCGATTGATGCATATTTTTAATTCAATATAAGAAGGTGCACAGTTTCAAAAATGAGGTATATTATAAAAACATTATATACCTATGCGGAGTTATTTTCTTTCAGAACGACAGGTCTTTCTTTTGAAGAATCAACCCGGACGATACCAAGTTTCAATGAAATTTGCTTCAAGGCATAAAATAATGACCTGTTTAAGGTAATTAGTTTCCTTGATTAAAATGCAAACTATAATTTACTTAAACATTTAATTCGGTTGATAGTTATCCTGTGCTATGGATAAAGGCTGAAACAAACCTGTCCTCCGTTTTCAGACTGAATTACAAAAAATCGTCGTGGACGCACATTTAAACTTTAAAAACAAATAATGTGAAATTTTGTTAATTTATCGCTGTAATAAAGGGAATATATTTGAGATGAATTTGATAATGCAAAACTTTTCGTAACACTTTTAAAACAAGCCAGATTTAACACATTCGTGTGTAGGATTTTGAAAATCTTATTGAGTCACACTGTATTGGAAATCATACATTGACCTATGGATATTCGTTTTTCGTGTTATATGTACATGTGTCACGATTTCGTGCTCTAATCGTGTCAGTTCTGAATTTATTACATTTATATATACCTATACCTTTCACTCTATCAAATGAACAAATGACCAAGCAATTTAATTTCAGCCACGTACTTTATGATAGAGAGGGGTGGGGGATTTTTTTTTTTTGGGGGGGGGGAGTATACTATTTAACTCTGACTATGCTCTCTGTTTATAAAAAAAAATGTATTTCCATTCAAAAGTGAAAAAAAAACAATACTTCTGAACAGCTCGTTAAAAACTGTCAGAAAAAATCTGCTTATCCGCGATAAAAATGTCACGAAAAAAAAAAGAAATAAAAACAGAACCTCCCCCTTTCATAAACTAAGTTGGTAATAAATTACTAACAAAGTGACTTGAAATTTTCATACACCGTAACAATTCATTTGTATCTTGCTTCATGCAGTTACAGTGATATAAGACACCTCGGGGTGTCAGGATTGCCCAAAGAAAGACCTCCCTACGGTCGGTCTTTCATTTAATCAATCCTTACACCCCTCGGTGTGTTATACGACAAGAAAAACCTTAACATTTGCATTATCTATAACGTAAGATAATGTAAAATAAACATAAATATACTTTTTACTCAGGACAGACATGGTTATTCATTAGTGAAAGTGATCCAAGTTTGATTATTGTTTCAAGTGAATCACTGATAATTGACCCCTAATTTTTGATAATTATAGCTGATAGTACAAGTAAAATGGACTCCTTTCCATTGTTTAAAATATACAGATTTAATTTTTCGTCTTTTCTTATTAATCCATAATCTTTTATCATCGAGATATATTTTACCGAATAGTTTTGTGCGCATCAACAGATACAGTTATAAAAAAAGATCTGGCATGTCCAAATCAAACATCTGACAGTTGTGTATTGATTAAAAATGAATTAAAACAGTGGTCTGGTTCATTATATAAGTGAAAGGTTAGGCAGTTTTGTTTATTAAGAATGGCATGACAGAATTAATTGTGTTTTGCGCTTCGTGTTGATGATCTAATGAGTCAAGCCCTTTAAACCAATTTTACATTTTATTCTTATGTTGTTATGTAACACCACTGTCCCAGGTTACGGGAGAGTCAAGTGTTCGCAATCATATTTAACCCCACCACATTCTGTATGTGCATGTCCCATATAATGAGCATATACTTCAGTAGTTGTTGTTAGTCGCCGTCTGTCACATTTATTTTTCGTTAAATTTTTTTACACAAATTAGGTCGTTTGTTTACTCGTTTGAATTGATTTACATTTTTTGTCGGTGTTTTTTGGAGCCTACTATACGGAATATGTCCTGCTAATGGTTAAAGGCCGTATGGTGACCTTTGGTTGCTACATACACACAATTTTGTCTATGGTGATTAGTTTTCTGATTTGAAATCGTACAACATCTTTTAATTTTGAATTTTATACAAATATTTGTCTGTGACAATACGAAAGATTTAACCCATAGGACAAGGTATACTTGAAGCTCTTTTTTTTTGGCTCCTTGAAATGGACCTTCGAAAAGTATTGTAAATCTACCAAATAGCATCCTTAACATTTTCATATGATAATTGTCTGTCAGACATCAGTATTTATATTTGTAAATTTTGTCTGAAGTGTACGTACGTACAATGCAAATCTACTAAAACATTCCCTAATTTTGACATCATTTCATTAATATTTAGATATGATGCAAGGCTTTATACCGAAAAAATTTTGGTACAAGATGTATTTTTTTCAAATATGTTATTGTGTGTTAAATATGTTTTGGGTATAACCTTGGTTCATAACTATTATCTATATACGTAATGGTTAAAAGGCCATTTGAAGTCAAATAAATCAATTTTGACATGTTAATGACATCACTAGTGACCGTTCCGAACTGAAGTGTTCAGAGTATATCAACACTTTTTGTAATTTCAGAGGCAAAATAATATCGTATCCCTTTGTTTCTTGACAGTTTATTTGTGCTTATTAACATATATTACAAAATATTGGGAACTTTATTTCAGTGTATATATATTCAGTGGCTAAAACGGGTATAGCCTAGTTGGTGAAGAACCAAAATGAAAATTGAAGGACTTTACTTATTATCTCAATAACGAAACAAAGACTGAATAATTGATTGGTTGTTGTTTGCAAAATTTCTAGTGACTGCATGTATTTTACGCATATTCAGTTCACGGCGAAATTTCTAAGTGTAAATTGTAGTAAAACTCATAACATCCGCATGATCCGCTGACATACATTTCTGAAATATTTATTTCAGTAAAGGAGATTCAGGTATTCCCTCTCCCTATCACCAACACAGAAAGGCTTGACTGAAAAACACAGGAATTTGTCGTTTTCAAAGAAAAAGAACAACAATAGAGGAAAAGAAGTGCAAGGTTCTCATTTATTCATATTTTGCATGCAAGTAGAATCTGTTTATTTGTATTTTAATTTCGATATGATTAGGAATCGGAAATGAGTGAGCCTCTTTTTCATAGATAACTTTTGAATGCAGACCTACCTGTATTCTCGAACCACTATCCATGTTTTGTCAAATTGTTGTGTTTGCTTTTTGGTGATTTACCGGTCCCGAATTTTCATTTTGTATAATAATTTCGTTTTAACTAGTCCGAGGAGATGAAGCCAGAAAGTGCAATGCACTTTTTTAAAACTGCTATATTCTTTGCTTTTCCTATGGCAAGATGTAAAGAGAGTAAACGAAAGATGCATTAACATGAATAGTCTAATGTAAATACTCATCACTTTCACTTGTAAATGAATTTGAATCTTTAATGGCCATTTTGTTCTTAAATCATCAGAAAAGTCTGAACCTAAAAACGGCAATTCTTGTTCACAGTTTCAGTTATTTTTCAGATCTTTTCTTATTTCGAATTCAGTACTGTTTAGACTGTTTGCTTGCAGTAAATCCAATGCTAATGTTATAGTTTTTCAGACATTCCAGTCTGTTATTGTTTTGTTGAGATAAGGAAAATTACTGATAAGAACAGTCTGAACATACATGTAGAATGAACATATCTAAATTAACTGCAAGCGAATTGCCTGAACAGTCCTACTTTACTGCAGCAGATAAGTCTGGAAATTTACTGAGAGACTAAAGAAGACTTAATAGTTCATTGTTCAACCTTATTGAATAAAGGCAACAGTAGTATACCGCTGTTCAAAAGTCATAAATCGATTGAGAGAAAACAAATCCGGGTTACAAACTAAAACCGAGGGAAACACATCAACAATAAGAGGAAAATAACGGAACAACAGAAACACTGAAGTGCAACAAAAACAAACGCCAACATACATAGATACGGACTATTTGATAACAATTGTCATATTCCCGACTTGTTACAGGACATTTTAAGAAGAAATGTGGGTTTAACCTGGTTTTATGGCTAGCCAAACCTCCCGCTGATATGGCAATGTTAAAAAATATCGCTAAAATGACAACACTACGTGACAGGAATACAGTACAAACAACCGCAAGAACACTCAGCACAGAGAAACGCATAAATAAATAATATAATAATGCATTTCAACATGTTAGCCGCAGAATAACAACGAACATCTTCCTTTAACTACAGCACAGCACACCACAAACCACAAACAGTGACGTATTTTTGTGACGTATGTATAATCTTGAAATTCATACAATTATATGAAACGAGATCCCAAAATTTACAATTATTTTCACAATACTAGTCCAAATAATTGAAGCTGTTCAGATCGAAATGGCCATTTCAGTTCACTACTGTTTGTTTTGCTCTAATATCAAAGAATAACAACGACTCATATTACAACTCGAGTCATGTCAATTTTCATTTTAAACAACAACAAAAATTTACTAGATAAGTGTTTGACCTTCCTGGTCTTTAATTAATGTCCCACTTTCCTGCTTTTTATCTTCAACAATATTGCTATCGATAGTCACTAATAATCACGATAGCGAGGAAGTTAAGCCATCAACTGAAATTAACACGTCATAAATCGTGCTTGTTAAAGATGATTACTAGTAGCAATTCGTTTTTATTCTACATCTATTACTAGTATTAATTTATATATCAATTTATTACTTTCCACATGGAGAAGCAATTAGCCTGCATTCGTGTCGATCCCTACTGTTTTAATATAGCTTGCTTTTGTTTCATTAACCTGTATATATGCGATTAAAATATCATTGGTATATTGGCTCTATGTGGCCACTCATTTAACACCATATTTTGTGTACATTTCTCTCGATCCTATTCTTCAAGAGAAATATCACTTATTTCAAAGAAAAACAAGGATATATACCTGATTTTGTACCAACTAAAATCCATGGTATGTCTGGGAGCCAATTGAGTTTCTCCGGAATCCATTCATATTCAAGAGCTTCGAATGAGTCTCTGCAAGTTGTGTCGAAAAAGACAAGTACAACATCAGTTCCAGGATAAAACAAACGTCGCATTTCGCAAAATTCACTCTGTCAAAAGAAATAAAACCAAAGCCAAGTCGTTAAACAACTTTCATTAAACTATTTTATACGTAGTTGCACGCTTTTAGCGGAATTCAAGATAAAAAGCGTACGCTATTAGTTATGCGAGTTATCTCCTTTACTCCAGGAAATGAAATTAACAGCAAGATGAAAAAAAATTATATTCAAAAAAGTGTTTGTTTTGTGGTTAAACTACAGTAACTCCAATCATCAATCTGAGTACGCTCATTTGTGTAAAGCTGGTCAAGACACAACTTTAGATAGACCGGAAAGTGTAAATAAAGGCTGAAAGAAAAAATATACTATAGAACTATTCAATTTATCCGATATCGTAAACAAAATCTGTCCTTCTGTTATCACAGATCCTTCATTGGAAAATAGATAAGGTAGTTTCCCATAAATCAAGTGGGTAAAATGTTCATATTTTTAAGCACAAAACAAAGAAGCTAAATGGGCAGGTCGGAAAAGAAGTGGCAGTTGATATATGATATCAACACAAAGCTACAATCTTTATTATACAGAAAATCTAAAGATAAAACGAGAAAAAATTCTCTTTCAAAACATTAATGTTTTTTGTTCTTATTTAGAGAGAGAAAAGGGAATTAATTAATAATAATAGAGTATGACGAGAAACATCTATTTTACAGTTTTATTCTATGAATATTTTCTATAATTTTTTTTAATCCTTCCGAGTCTATCTTTTTTCATCTTAGAATAAGTGAGGTAAACCTAACTTTATCTAAATGAACGAAATATATAATAATAGTTTGTGTAGAGAATAAAGATCATCAAATTTAAGAAAAGTTTCATCTGAGTTTAAAATCATAGTTCAAACAGATAAAATTAGAACATACTAAATGATATGCAAATTCCAATTTCAAGGGGGTTTGTTAGATTGGTGTATGAAAACAAGGATGTGTTTTAAAACTGAAAACCCAGCTTGTTATTTGCAAGATCAAACTAGTATGTCGCATTTCCCTTGACATTTTCATTCAAAGATTGGACTAATACATGCTAATACATTGTAGCTATTGGTTCCGGTTTGAAGTAACTTAAACAGACATATATTTAAAGAAACGAGTATACAGGCAATTAAGGCAGAAAATTTCGTGAAATAATATAAGTTATATAAGGTGCACGTCTAACCAGTAACATATGATCTGGATGAAGACTAGACTTACGCACAAAGACTCGAAAGTTTAGCTTGAAAAGATGCAGAAGACGAAGCTTACTTTGAAAAATGAATAAATACATGGAAAAAGCAACAGCGAAAAACAACGCGATGTGTCGATGCGATAACAATATTCCCATCGACAGCGAATAATTATAGTGGATTCATAATTTGTTAAACTCCATGTAAACCGGGACAAAACAAACTCGATCAGTAACTTATAATATTCGATTCGTTAATAGATTACATAAAAGCAAATGTGCAAACAATTGTTTGATTTCAAAAAGATGGAAGTTAGGACATCCTAGGGTAAATTCATTCCGCGGAGTGAAGGTTAATAAATTCGATTGATGATAACTATATACACGTAATACATGTATTATAATATGGTGATTTTTATAAACTACCGAAATCCGACAGTGACTTGCGTTCACTGGTAGTATTTATTATACCAATTTGCAAATTTTTTTCGGTATTGATTGCATTTCAAAAAAATGTCATGGACAATAATTTTGGATTAGTATATTTCCTATCAATTAAGTATTCTTGAACATTTTTAGATAACATTATCAAAATAGCAGATAACACTCACGCTAAGCGTTCGGGCGTGGCACAACAGCTATAAGACTTAACGTCACTGTGTACACAATAACGTACCCGCAAAATTAAAAATTTTCCTATTAAATCCAAATTTTCACAGTATTTAGCTTGAAAACTAGCACGGATGCTAATGACTTTCTTTGCACCAATAGTTTCGTCATTAATTTTTCTAATCATATAGCAAATTTTTTAAAAATTCTTTTGATCAATAAATAGAAAAGGCTTACCAGTATAATGTAAAGATATCTGCCGGAGGATTATCAAACTATTAATTTCAACAGCTCGTATTTCAAAAACTAAAACGGTTACATCATTTTTTTTTTTAATATTCTCTGGTTTAAATTGTGTAGGCACTATTTATATGATTGTAAAAATAATTTTAAATCTGTATATTCATTTATTACAGACACTTCGACTTAGGTGAATACCTTACATACTTTCGGCCAACATATGGAACATACATTTTGTTATTCTATCAAAAACTGAAGAATGATTAAAAAGAATTTCCAAAAATTAGTAAGGCATAAGGCAAAAATATTTTACGAGTTATATAGCGTTTTAGTAAAACATTATTTATTAAGCAGGTTCTCTGTAGTTGGTGTGTTCTATATACATACTCGGCTTTTAAAATCAGTCTGGTTTTGTCATTTTAACCTCACATTGATTTATATAAGTTAAAAATAAAAACTTAAAGGATTGAAATCTGTTTGACAAGAACATCAGCAACACATATAATTATTATGAGATAAAGTTTCAATTTCTAAACAATGACATGCATTCTCTTTAAACCCATCCGAACATTATGGAATTAATCGTAATGTTTACACGTGTTCACAAATATCTTGTTAACTTTATAGATTTTCGGTCAGTCAATTTATGACCGTTTAACTAACTTTAAATGATAACACATTATTTTTTTTTTATGTTTTAATCGAATTAGTAACTAAACTTTGGCTAGATCGTTCATTGGCAATCAACCCACATCTCCATATTTTAATATTGCACCTGTAATGCAGTTGTATTCGACCAAGAAGTAAATGAAGACATAAAAGATGCATAGCTCCACAGTCTACAGGTTTTAGCAATTATGAGGAGTTTTGTTACCTGTCCTTGTGTATGTTGTAACTCCACCTTGACATCAACTTCATTGACCTTCAGGTAGACATCAAAGGTAGCAAACATAGATGGCACATATCCCCAGTAAAGGCATTTAAAATCAGTCATAGTCATTGCAATTAACAGTTTTGCCTTCCCACAAGCATTATATCCAATACTCAAAACTTTTATACTTGCCATTACCACAAAGTTTTTATTGCGTCTCAGTTTGTATTTCCTTTTCGTATATTGTAGAAATTCCTATAAAAACATACTACTATGAGAGTAAAGCATCGAATATTAGGCTAAATATAATATAGGCTGCGAAACAGGTGTGACGGAGAAATTCACCATTTAATTCATCTTGAAATCCCGATCGTTGTTTTACGAACACGGATTGAGCTAGCTTTACATCTGGTACAAGCAAATAAGAGAACTTTCAAGGGAAGCATGTCCTACCGTAAACTGATGATTAAAGTGTGAAAAAGTTTATTTGCTTTCTTTTTAAATGTTTTTAGTCCATAGTAAGTACAGATTTATGATGACATGTGTAAGGCGACGACCATTTCATCATGTCGAGGACCCCAGGGTTTCGGGAAAAGGAAAGACCGTTTTAGCGACGTGGAAATTGTTGTTCGAACAACTGGAAGGATGTAGCAGAGTTCTTTTCCATTGTTTTAAATATTCAAATTTGCACTTTTGAAAATAACTTATTTCTAAAATCAAATCTTTTGATCAAACTCGTATTTGGCATATTTATTTATTCTAAATACTTGCTCTTAATATAAAGCTCGAATAATTCGAATGTTAGGTGCATTGAGTTAAAAGGTGTAAAAATGATTCGAGACTAAAGAAAAATCAGTGTTTCAACATGTATTAATTTGAGATGGGTTTTTTCCCCTGATTTTGTATCTAAATAGACATTCATTGAAGTTTTCGCAGAATTGATTTTTTGTGATGAAATATTGACTTTTACAAAGATTTTGACTTCGAGTTCACAACACACAAAACGGCTGATCACATAACGAAAGATAAACAGCAACAATCACACTTAGACAGTTACTTCGGTACTGACATGATTTATAACAAACCTTTCTAAAATTGTCTGTTTATAAATTTTGAAATTATAAAGAAACTAAGGTTTCAACTCCCTCAGGCAAAGTTGACCTTAGATGCATTTGGCTATTTGTTTTAGGTTTTTTTGTCATATAGCTCTTCAACTGTTTCGGTACTTATACATCCCTCGGATTTCAAATGTTTGGCTTTGAGCGGTCCTGATTAAGGTAAATCAAGAAAAGCGCTTCGGACGCATGAAATTATTAAACGTGTTGTTTTCAATTTTTTACTGCCATTTACAAATGCACCTAAGCAAAGTAACAAAGCAGAGCAAAGACTTTCGCTTATCTTTTATGGTCCTTAATTCCGTGAATGATTATTCGAATATATATGTTTTGTTTTTATTTTGTATCATGTTTTACACAAACGTCCTGTTTTATGTATTTTTTTTTTTTTTTTGGTCTTGTATTTGACAATAGGTATTGACATTTTAGCGTATAAAATAACAATAGGACTGTTTATAAGAAGATTAGTTTGGGTTGTTTGAGAACAACAGGTTTATCTTTCTCCGTATATGAACTTATCGCAGTCTTATTTCATGTATTTCAAGTTTTAACTATGTATTTTTATTATATACTGATCTTGTTGTTATAGGATTCACGTATCGTTTCGATTTTTTTTCTGATTTCTCAAATCGGAAAAAAAACGAATGGTCGTAAATATACACGGACCGTTAACATAATTTCATTTTACCTACTGATATTGTGTTTATTACGTATCTGTAGTTGCATTGTACTAAATCCGGGTCCTGAGCGCACACCAGAGAAATCTTAGAAAACATTGTCAATTTTCCAAGGTATTATAAGAAGCCTTAGAAATATTCTTAATTATATTAGCGATGTAATTGAAGATTACGATGCCGTTTTCTTCACAGAAAACAGTTAGATTCATATATTACAGATTGGGGTAAATACCTTTTGATAGAGGTGAAATTGATCAAAATTGGACATACGTCACAACCGATTTTGGCTTAAGTAAAATAGGGTTATGAATGAAATTTG